ATGAGCACAAAGAGATGAGCCAGATTAAAGTAATCCTCAATAGACCGAAACTCTAGTTATAATAAATCCTGGAATAAATGTCTTGTGTAACACAAATATAGGTGCTGATGGGCCTCTATTTGAGCTTAGAATGTGCAGAACTGATTGCTTTGCATCCAACTTTTATTGCACACAACTACTGAAATACAAAATTAGCGACCAAGACACAGATGTAGAATGGTCTCAGAGAGAGCTCTGTGACAGAGAATTTAAATTGAATTTATGAGTGTGTCTATTATATCAGTAACTTAAATGGAATGCACCCAGTCCATTTGAAATTATACTACACTTGCAAGCTGCCATTGTGGGAAAATGCAACAAAAAAAGTCTTTTTTTTCCTTGCACACAACCAGCTCTGCAACAGTGTGTGGAAATTGGCTTTTAATGGAATAAAATTGCATGAAAAGTGCAAGTTTCTTTCACATACACACAGATTAACCAGTCCTTCAGTTTCCAAGAACCAACCTCACACAAAAAGGTCTTCGCCTGCACAAAACTGGAGTCCAGGGAGCTTTGGTCGCATGTGAATACTGACCAAGTTGGGCCAAAGTCCTTGTGCCCCATAAACCTACAGGTACCAAGATTAATCTCATTTACAGGCCCAAATAACTGTTTTCTTCTCATGCTTTGCTCATGCCAAAGTCTGTAACCATCTTTGGCAAACTACCTGCTGTGTGAATCTCCCACCCTCATCTCACCCCTTGCTCAATCTTTTAGACTCTGTTCATCCAACCTTCACTTCCAACAGCCTCAGACAGGTCGCTCTCCTATTTCCACTTACCTCGACCAACAATTTCACATGATCTGGCTATTAACTCTGCAAGTGTTGCAGATCTTTAAGTGGGCCTGTGACTTGGAATATATACATGTGATTGATCTCCTCAGGAAGCTCCATAACAACTACTGTGACAAGAGAATTGGATCAGGAGAAGGACTGTTAACATCAAGATATCACTTCGTTAACCTGAAACAGGAAGCAAGATCAGACATAAATCTGTGGGTCCCACAGCAAGACATAGCTCAAGTTAGTAACTTAAAGACCTAGCCACATAAGCACAATTTATACTTTTTTTTTAATTTAAGAATGTATACAAGACAACAAACTTGTATATAAACAGCAGGATGTCATTTTACTTGTATCAAAGACAGTATATTTCAAATTCAGCCTCTATGTTCTACAATATGTGAAAGCAGACTCAAAGGTTTTTTTAAAAAAGAAAATAATAATTGTATCAGCGCACTCCTTATTCATGAAACCTCTTTTCAGTGTAGCATAACAGCAGCGTTTATGAAGTTTTTTATCTCCTTATATGCAAACACTCCACTCTTCTGAAAAACTCTACAATAAAATTAAAAATAGGAAATTTTAAGATCCTTACACACATGCAGAACAAAAAAAAATAAAACAAAATATGTTGGGCATGTATAATAACTACAATATAGTTTTTCTCATAGATATTTTATCTAGCATTCTTCACCAATAGCAAACTTCGAATATAATGAACTGATTTCAAGTACATTTTCACTCGACATGCAAGCACATGCCTGTGCACATACACACGCACCATTTGCACATTTCTAAGAGATAAAAAAAAAAAAAGACCTCAGAGACCTCAGATAATCATGGAGCAGAATACTGTCTTATCATTTCCAGATTTTTCACAGAATCATGGAATGGTTGAGGTTGGAAGGGACCTCTAGAGACCATCTAGTCCAACCCGTCCTGCTCACCTAGAGCACGTGGCACAGGGTGACATCCAGGCGGGTTTGGAAGATCTCCAGAGAAGGAGATTCCACAACCTCCCTGCGCAGCCTGTGYCAGGGCTCTGTCACCCTCACAGGAAAGGAGCTTTTCTTTGTCTTCAGGCAGAACTGTCTGCTTGTGCCCGTTGCCTCTTGCCTTATCACTGGACACCACTGACAGGTGTCTGGCCCCATTCTTTCAAATACTTACACACATTGATAAGATCCCTGCTCAGCCTTCCCTTCTCCAGGCTGAACCTGCCCAGCTCTCTCATCCTTCCCCAACAGCAGAGGGGCTCCAGCCTCCTAATGATCTATGCAGTCCTGCACTGGACTCTCTCCAGGAGCCCAATGCCCCTCCTGTACTGAAGGGCCTGGAACTGGGCAGAGCGCTCCCAATGTGGCCTCACCAGGGCAGGTGACTCCCCTTGACCCTTGCCAAGGCCTTTCCTAATGTCCCCAGGATAGCAGGGGCCTTGGGAATACGGTGATGACAGACACACCGTTGGCTGCTCTCTCCTCGCCCGCACTGCCACTCACTGCATCTCAGGAGGCTCTCGGGTTGGCTGGGCGAGACTTCCCCTTGCTGACCAACACTGACCTTGATCACTTTTGTATCCTTCACTAGCGTGGAGAAGGCATCCACGACGAGCTGCTCCATCTCCAGGGATTTTTCTAAGCACTGAGTGTTTTTCTATGCATTTCTAAAAATTCCTTCTCTTTGCTAAGGAAGAAATAGATAGTGTTGAACTCTGGTAAACTAAGCATCTGGCTTCAGCTCAAGGGGTTTCTGACTTCCCCTGCCCACCCCCCTCCCTGTTTAGTAGTTAAATATTTTCCTATCCCTGAGGACTAAACTGATTTCTGACATTTCATCACTTGGGGAATAAACGGAACATCACCTAGCTATTACACGTTCTTCCATGTCTTGTGTTTATTGGGATAAGATTCTGTATTGCAGTTGAGTTAAACTTTGTGCGTGACTGACTCAGAGCAGGAAAAAAAAAAAAGAAAAGAAAAAAAAAAAGGAAAAAATCTACATTAGAAATGTCCTGGATGCAAAACAACAAGCATCTTACCTGCTAACATATGATTAATAAGTGACTCACAAGTGCATTTTCCTCTAAATGTTCACAGGCCTCATATGGAAAAGATGCTCTTGGTAGATAAACAACTCAAATCCTGAAAAAATAACTTTTCTTGTTTTCTCCAATGTGTTTAAAAGTCTTACACTTTTCTACTGTATTGTAATCACTAATTCAATCAGCAAGAAGTACAAAGTTTCATTATTCCTTTTTCACAGCCATTTTAGAAAAGTCACGGCATGACAGACTCCTAAGCGGGCTTAAAGAGCAGCACGAGTGAGGCCTGGGCCTCCAGCACATCCTTCCTCGCCGCACACAGCTCACGCAGCCATCCGTGTCGCRCCCTTTCCCTGCTCCGATTCACAGCAAGAGCCACGAAACCAGCTGATGTTCAACAGGCCCTACCAACACCCTTCCAACCTGCTACGGAGAGCGAAGCTCACAGCTTTTCTCATTACGGTTTGGAGAAACACTGCTTTGTCTGAGCAGTTCCTAATACAGCTTTGAGCTCAGATTCAGCTACCACATCTTAGTCAATCACTGCACGTTATTTTTGTCACAGAAATGCACGAGACAGGCAGAAAAGCAAATGCTTTTGCCTGCATCTCCTCTGATCATCCGCATGTGCTGGCRCTCCCAGGCAGCACGTTAGCACTAGTGCAAGCTTCCTGCCATGCAGCAACCTATTCAGATATAGGAACTGCATATAGGAACCTGTCTAGACCTTTAGTATGAAATCACATCAATCCATTTCAGCGCATGCCAATCTTGGTATACTCTTTATTCTTTTCCTTAAGTATTCAGTCATTATACCCTGAACAATAACAAAAAAAAAGCCGTTCCCGTCTCAAAACACAGGCACGCTGTGATACCGGGAGCAGTTCACCACAAGTGAGACCACACACAGATAAAGGGTGGCTGGATCCGAACCTSTCTGTGATGAGGCTACCACAGGACTGCTCTATGTGCACAGTTGGACACAGCAAAAACACACGTGCAACAGAAATGCATTATGAAAGCAGAACAGGTTCTCCACAGCAGTGGCAAAAGCTGCACAGGAAAAAAACAAATATCTGTAAGGCCAGTTTGAGGAAGAAATATCTCAATTATCAGCCTACGCTACAAAGACTTCAGAAATGCAGAGCTGCTATTAAGCTCCCTGCTAAAGGTTAAGTGGCTGTTGTAAGGAGCACCAAAGCCAGCATGGCAGTGTTACAATTAAGGACAATTCTTTAGATGATGTAAATCAATACACTTCTAATCCTTATCAATAAAAGGACATGTTAAGAGCCCAAGAGTATTAAGCAATTATCTAAAAGGTTTGTTATTACAAGTACTTGCCCCATAGCAGCAAAAAAAGCCAAAAAACAAGGCAAAATCCAACAAGAACACAGAACAAAGAAGCATTTGTGTATAGGGTAAACATGTGGCAGAGCAATGATAAATGGAAAGACTAAAATTTTGATGTATCCATAAAGAAAAAAACCTCCTCCACTATTAGAATATTTTCAAAAAAACTCATTTAATCAGTCTTTCACACTACCTGCTCCTTCTCAATACAATTCATGCTCATTATGTTAAATGAACACTACTATATGTGCAATAAAATAAATGTAAGTACTACTTTATGTTTGCCTGCCAGGTAAATCACCCTTTTAAAGGTATTACAGTTCTACCTGATGCTAAGTAGTTAAACGTATGCATTTAAAAGTTGGTGGTGATTTCTCRTTTTTTACTTTGAGTTGGTCCCTGAAGCAACATTTCTTTTTAAAAAAGCACCTAACTTGTCACATTTCTTCCACTTACAAGAGAATACACTATTGAACACAGAAGTTGTCCTAAAATATGGCTATGAGGACCCGGTCCTGCCTTCAGTAGGGAACACTTACTAGACCATTAAGAGCAGCTGCAAGAAACCCTAGGATAACTGGACAATAATACTGTATATGGGCACAGTGTCACGGTTAGGTGCTCTGATCACATTTCAGCTGACACCTACCTTTTCTCCGTTTCATAAAGCAAGAAGAATAGGGCCTGAAGAGATGGAAGTTAAAACAAAGTTCATTTCTAAGTGACAGAAAGGAGACGGAGTAAAGCTAGTCGTGCTTGCTACATGGGCTAGCCATCAAAAATAGAAATGTTTTTATTTCTTCATTAGGCAAGATTACAAATCAAACTGGAACTGAATCATCCTTAAATTCATTACCTTTGAAAGCTGCATTAAGAAACAATTCATATCAAGCACYTACACACAGACACTGTTTACATGAACAAATAAATCTACTTAAATAAACAGAAGAACACAGACAAATTACCTTGGATGCAAGTCAATTCAAAACAGTCGCAGAAACCAACAGCACAGCTGTGCTTTATTCTTAACAGCGTGCTGTGACACTGCACAGATTTACCCTGGTCTGGAACCAGTAGGAAAAGTGACACTGCCATCACTCTGGTCAGCAGGGAGCAGATGAGGTCCCAAAGCCACTTGGAGCAACATGAGGCACCAGGAAGGTGAGCCTGCTGTTCCTCAGGGCACCCACTGTCGGATACACCGTGCCAGGTAATTCATTGTTGCTCAGGCARTCCATGACAGCTCCATTCAGGAGGCCCGGCTGCCAGCTCAGCTCTTCTCCGAATCGGGACAATCATCCAAGGGCCAAAACACGAAGCAAGTGCCCAGGTTTGCATCGCAGAGAAGGTGAGAACAAGGGGAACCRAACAGAAGCCTGGGCATTTCACAGGGGATCTCACACAAGCGCCTCGCTGCGCTGTTATTCACATCTGGGAGATCTATTCCACCTCTAAATGCCCTACCATAGTGTATTTGAGTACTTGGGCTTTCAAAAATAGTATTTCTCCATTTATCAAGAATTACTTATCAATAATTCAATGTATAATATCAATGAATCAGAAGGGAACAGCACGCATGGTGCTTAACTATTTTAGGCATAAAGTTTATCATTCTCAGAAATGTATTCATATATACTAAAAAGAATGTATAAAAATAATCTGTAATATGACAAAAAAGACTAACCAGAAAATGTTCAATCAGGAGGAAAACCATTAAACATCTTTCTCCCTTCCTTCCAATTGCAGTTAAAATAAATATATGCAACTGTACTTTAGCTCCTGGAAATGTAAATGGCACAAAACTCGCAGCAGCAGTGCTGCTAATAAACATCAATTTTAAACATCAAATATATATATACATATATTTATTTCTTTTTTTAAGCAAAGAAATTAAATACTCAGTTAAATCAATAATTTGTTCCATACCAACTGTTAACCTTTTTGGTGCTTATGTAAAGAACGAGGTTGATAACAAAATATTCCTTGGTTTCTTCCAACCACACCAAGTCAACACTGACTTTCCCCTCCGAATCCGCATACTCTGTGGTGTAGATGTGGCCCATGTAGTCATAAAGACCAGATGTGCTGGAAGACAGTTCCATGTTGACGGGAGCACTGAAACACCAGAAGGGCTTTCGGGTTTCATCCAAGACAGTAACATCCATCAAGTAGCAGTCCTACAAACACAAGCAGAAGAGATCAGTTTCCCATGYAGGCCACAGTCAGGCAGATCTGTCATGGATTTTAAAAGAAATAATAAATTTCTAATAAATGCTAAGGGTTCAGCATACACTCAATTTTTTAGCCTTCATATCAAAATATGAAGGCTAAAAAATTCAAAATGCTCCATAATGCTCCACTGCCCACTGCAAAACAACAAGTGTGTACTTAGAAGTTCCCCACAGACTTTAAATACTGCAGCCTACAAACAGCAGAAATTGTGTCCTGTCAAACTGCAGGCAGCACTGCCAGTCTAGGTCTATTATCTAGAGAACTAAGCCTTAAAAAATAATCGTTTTTTCTCAAGAATTATTTACTTTACCATCCAAGTATTGATAGTCCTGTCAATACAAGGAAGACAGCTATGTCTAAGCTCAGGTGCCAGACCTCTCCGAACAGAGCAGCACGTGCAAAGAGACCACCACACAGCAGAAGACGACAGGCAGGTGTCTGTGTGCTGTTGTGGATGCAGGTCTTTCCTCCTAGTAGTTAGTCTTCATAAAAAATATTTGAAAAACTTCTTTAAATCACTACCTAACGGTATCATTTTTTAACACTCAAGTCAGCCTGCCAGTTCTTGGGCACTGCAACATAAAGGTTTCAAATATGAAAACACAGGTTGTGCTCCATTGTTAACACCAGCTGTTACCTATTTCCATGAGTTCTGAATCCCCAAAAGAATAAAACTTAATTAAATGTTGTATATATGCATTATTCCCAGGACAATAGCTTGCCCCAAAGGCATCAACTATCCAACGCTGCATACTGAGTGCCAAAACATTAATTTAGAAATGCTTTAATTTCACTGTGCTTCTGTTGCTTTAACTATTCTTTCAATACTACCATATTTCAGTCAAAGAGYGCAAAGCAGATTGCACAGAACCTTACGAGGCAATTTTCAAAAATTTGATTCTGTAGACTGCTGAAAATATGTAATTCAAGTCAAGCTTCCAGTTCATCMTAATTTGTAAAAGCTACATATTAATTTCACAAAGGAAAACAAACAAACAAACTAACCCTCTACTATTCTCCGGCATCCTTTGCCTGCCTCTGGCATACAAGACATAAAAGATGTCTTGTACGAAAAAAGGTCGATTGTGAAGAGTACAGCACGGCCTCAACTGAAGAGAGTTCTCTCTTCACAGGTATCCTGAACTACCTGTACTTCAAGTTAACCTTCATTTAAAAGCAACCAAACAAAAAAAAAAATCCGGAATTACAAAAGGAAGATTTTTTAAGTATCGGCAAAATCCCAGGGCTTCGTTTTTTTAATGCATTCTAAATTCAAAGTACTGGTATATTCTGCTGCTGTGGATGATTTCCCTTGGCCTTCATATGTTTTAAGAGCTTGATAGAGATTGATAGAGATTTATGTTAAAAGCAAAACTGAACTCCATGTGCAGTTATTTGTTGACATGCACAATTTCTCATTTAAAAACAAGAGGAAAAAAAGGCTAAAAAAGTTTATATTGAATATTTGGGTTTTTTGGGGAGGAAAAATAAAACACTTATAAAAACTTATGATATAAGCAAACAGGTCAGAGCTAAACTAAAGACTGCCACCTTAGCACTCTGTTCCCTCTGGCAGTTAATACCTCAGATTCTGGGGGTGCCTGTGACTATTTTCACAGAAGAAAAAAATTCTGGCCAAGCAATTGTTAATCCCATATTTTTTTGCCATCTACCTAGCCACCTAGTACTGCAGCAAGTTTCTCCATTTCCTAGTGTATTTTTTTTCAAACAAATGAAGTACTTTCTCTAGTTATATGCTAAAATCCTATTAACTTTAAGCACATATTTCTTCTGAAATTAAGGGATACAAAATAAATAGCTCTGTATGAACTGACAAAATCAGGTTTGAAGTTTCTCAGAAATTCTAAAAGCATCTTTTCTGGTTTTGTTTCTGAATAAGTACTCATAGAAACTATATATATATATATATAGTCAAATATAGTCAAATATATATATATGTCAAATGACTGTCCTTAAAGGAGTGATTTATTATTAGCCACATTCATTTTACTTTGCAACACAGAGTACTTTTATTGACATGCATAGAAGGAGGATTTGTTCTTTTGAAAATGACCACCACCTTTTCTCAAGGAAAAGTTTAGCACAAGCTAAGAAAAAAGTGCAAAGAAAGCTGATTGCTCATAGCTTTTTTTTTTCCACTCAAACTCCCTTTGTTTGCATGGAAACAACTAGAAAGAGAGGACTGAATGGGAACAGTAATTCAAGCTCAACTGTAACTGATGTCTCCAAAAGCAGCAGTAGATTACTAAGCTTTATGACGTATTTTATATGCCCCATTGCCCTCAAGACTGCAAACCAATACTGTAAACCATAAAAGAAGTATATTAATGTTATTAAACAAAATATTAGGCTATCAAACATAGCTCTACTTTCCAGTTATGCAAGATTATCAAAAGGGCAGTTTTATTAACTGTTTTTTTTCTTTTTTTTCCTAAGTATTTTCAAAGTGTCAAAATTGAAAGCTCTAAAAAAATCATTTTTCAGTAGGGTAATTTCTGGTAATTATGCTTGCCAGAATTTTTGGTGGTTTTTAAGTGTGAATAAAGTATGCACTTTCACCGCTACTGTAAAAACTGCAAGAGTATTTTCAATCCCTTTAAATCACTCTTGTAGGCAAGTGATACGAGGGAACAAAGGTGCAGGTCTCTCAGACTCGGGCCACTCAAGTGGGACAGTGAATCCGTCCCACTTGCAAGGCTCAGGAATCAGCCTGGAAACAGGAACAGGGGTCATCCTTTCTGCCCAAAATGCCCACTGGCATTTTAATGCTCTCCAGTAGTCCCCTGAGCTTCACTACACATATATACCACAACAGAAAAGCAGAGAACTTCTGTGCTTTTTCCAGGGTTCCAGAATTATTGCCTACACCAGAATAAAAAACATATTTGTAGTACATTTTTTATCCAGCCTTTCCAAGAGTTGTTGGACCCTGTCAGCATCCCTGAGGAACTGAAATCACTGCAATCATTGTGCATGCAAAGCAGGTCTATCGTGCAATCTATTCTCTCAGACAGAAAGGACAACACTACTTTTTTCTAGAAATTCATAATTTCAGCAATAACTGATTTTTAAGTGATTTTGCTATACCTTCATCAAGAAAACCTTTAAAAACATTGCACTGTTGGGATGCATAAAGACCATTCTACTTTGAGATAAGCATTTCAAGAAATAAACAAAAGAAAAAATCATTGACTGACCTTTACATGGCCTTTAAGTGCATCTGTTCTCCAGGATAAGCCAACTGTCCCAATAATAGGCAAGTGTTTCGCATTATCCTTTACGCTTACAACCGTTAGCCTCAAATAGCCGTTTTGAATGTCACCTGAAAATATTAATATACAGCACGGCATTACTACGAGTCAAATTGAGCCAACACACTCCGAATGTGCTGCCTGCTTCTCTCCGCATCCTCAGGTGCCTCACGCTTGTCCTGAGGGAAGTCTGACACGAACCAACAGCTACATAATCTCCACTTATAGATTAAAGACACTAATGATCTCYAAGGGCAGAAAGAAAGCAAGAGAGATTTGGAAGAAGACCAGAACGAAGTATCTGGGGCTTGCAGGAAGCACATGGGAAAGAAGGAATTCCTCACAAAAATACAGCTCGCTAAGCGGTCTCTGGATGGTAACTTAAGGGGCTTGCAGACTGAGGTGGTTTAAGATGCAAAAGAGAGAGAAGTAGTGTGGCCCTGGTTCTCCTTCAGTCTTTAGTAGCAAGAGCTGAAGGACGATCAAGAGCAGAAGGGCTTGGCCCATCAACACCCTGTGCTGAAAGCTGAAGCTGCTGCAGAAGCAGCAAAGCTTTGTGCAGGGCTGCTGAAGGCAGCCAGAGGCAACACATCACAAAAACAGCGAGCCTAACACCAGGGAAAGGACAAGCCTAGTGCCTGGGAAGGGGCGAGCCTAAAGCTCGCCACAGAAGCCTCTCCCAAACGGGCACCGCGGGACTAAGCGGCAGCCACGGCGGGCCCAGGCACAAACCAGCGCCCGGAAAGCGTCGCCGCAAGCAGGCGTCCCAGGGCGCTGGCCGGGCCAAGCCAGAGGGRCTCCGTGGTGGGAAGCTGGGATGGGCTCAGTTGCGCCCGGGAAGGACTTTGTGTGGGTGAAGGAGAAGCTCATCACTCCTGAGAGCGACTCCCGGCCTCCCTGCAGAAATATCCCAGAGAAATCAGGGAGGAGAGCACAGGCAGAACTCGCATCCACAACAGCTCAAAAGCCTGAAGGGCGGCATTAGGTATGGATGACACTTACCCAGTTGTTAAGTCTTAAGTCTCAGTATATTAAATCAATGATGAGATTTCATTTAAGATAATAGATTTTAGATAAACACTCAAGCTTTACTGAATGAACACTAAGAGCTTCATTTGAAGATGAGCTTTTATATGTGTTAAATGGATTCAGTCAACAAGTATTTTTTCCACAGGACTATTCAGCTATCTGCAATTCAGATGCAAATAGAAGCAGCTATTCTTCTCACTCATTCAAAATAAATGAAAATTTTAATTGAACTAAGGAAAAGAAAAGGGGGGGGGGGGGAGAGAGAGAGAGAGAGAGAGAGAGAGAGAGAGAGAGAGAGAGAGAGAGATTGGAAAAATAATACTGCTAATAAAGCAGAGGAAACCCAAAATATCACCATTATTGCAAGATGTTATAATATCATCAACGACCACATTGCCAGATAGGCTGCCTATTTGTCAGCCTATCTGGCAGCTATCCCCTTTTTGCAGCTACTCAGCCACTTCCAGCCAGGGTGTAAAGAGGTAACACAGAACCAGGAACCTGCATACTAATTATTCAGCCAGTATTCAGACTGATTTTTTAAACTTTCTTAACTATAAGAAGTCCATCCCATTCCTCATACTCAAAGGTCTATCTAGAAGTTAGTGAGAGTCAAAGTGCTGTGTAGGTAAGTACTGAGATATCCCCTTCTCATAGAATCATAGAATGCTTAAGGTTGGAAGGGACCTCAGARGTCATCTAGTCCAACCCCACTGCTCATGCAGGATCACCTAGAGCACGTGGAACAGGGCTGCATCCAAGCGGGTTTGGAAGATCTCCAGAGAGGAGACTCCACAACCTCTYTGGGCAGCCTGTGCCAGGGCTCTGCCACCCTCACTGTCAAGAAGTGTTTTCTCAAGTTCCTGTGGAACTTTTGGTGGCTCAGTTTGTGGCCATTTCCTCTAGTCCTATCGCTGGCCACCACTGAAAAGAGGCCGCCCCCCTCCTCCTCACTGCCTCCCTTGAGGTATTTATAGACACTGATCAGGTCCCCCCTCAGCCTTCTCTTCTCCAGGCTGAACAGACCCAGCTCTCTCAGGCTTTGCTCATAGGGCAGATTTTCCAGGCCCTTGATCATCCTCGTAGCCCTGCACTGGACTCTCTCCAGCAGCTCCACATCCCTCTTGTACTGGGGAGCCCAGAACTGGACACAGTACTCCAGATGTGGCCTCATCAGGGCTGAGTAGAGGGGGATGATCACCTCTCTCGACCTGCTGGATACGCTTTTCTTAATGCACCCCAGGATCCCGTTGGCCTTCTTGGCCACCAGGGCACACTGCTGCCTCATGGTCAACTTGTCATCCACCATGACACCCAGGTCCCTCTCTGCGGGACTGCTCTCCAGCAGGTCCACCCCTAATCTGTACTGGTGTCCAGGGTTATTCTCATACCAGTCTGATCAAAACTGGAAATCCAAGGGCAGAACAAGCTACACTAAAAATACCAAGGGAAACTTGGAGGGAGCAACTTCCGTCCTGACCTAGAATTTGACTCATTAGCCCCATTATGGTATTGATGGTCTGGAGGTTCTGTGAAACAGTGAAGAAGCCCTTCAATCAATCAGCACAGTTTATAGAAAACAGGTATTTCCAAATGCCAGTAAAGAGAATCATATAGCCACACATCAGGGGAAAGACACAAATAGTCCAACAATAGTTCAAAAAGTCCAATAGTTTATGGGGTAAATTGATTTGCTAAGTAAAGTTTTCTTTGTTGAAAGATATAATTTAGTTGTTATTTTCCCAGGAAATGCTGTGGTCAACACTAATTCTGGCTGGCAACAGCCACGCCTCCCACAATGAAATGGTCATTTAATTTTTTTCTACTTGGTTCAATGAGGTGTGATATAGCTTTTTTTTTCCCTTTCTCTAATTTAAAGTTATGTATCTTATAGAAAGAAATGAAATCAGAGCAGTAGGAATGAAGTATTCAGGAAGACTAATGGAAAAAGACAAAAATCAACTGATTTGTTTGTATTTAGTATTTTCTTCAGAGTAACATATGGCAATCCCCTAGTGACCTTGGAGTGTCTACAGCTTTTTAATGTAAATAAATAACTCAGTGTGAAAGCTGACAACTGCTCTGTGAAACAGGTGGTGAAAGCTGCTAGTGGCACCATCACATTCATTTTTTAAAACAAATCAGAGAGTTTCAAGAAACAGCAAGGGTTCTCACTCCACGCTCAGAGTCGTTCTGGAGAACAAGACCCAGATTGCTGTCGAGTAGAGGCTAAAAACAGGGACTAAACTAGCAAAGACAACCAGTTTGGGCAAATCCACCCCGTTGCCCGCACAGAGAAGTACTGCATCCACAAGAGAGCAAACCAAGTGACCCAAAATGTAGAACTAACAATAACTTTACCGCAAAGCTGTGTGACAGTGCACTGTCACCAAGTGCTACACTACATCTCTTTTCTGAAGAGAAAACACAGCCATTTTCCAAAGGAGATTCTTAGGTAAGCACAAGGAAGAAAAGARATGACGAATGAGCTGACTGCCTGCAGAAACCACACTCCAGTCTGCTGACAGCAGCTCTGTAGAGAGGCATCCAGGTGTCACGGTAGACAACAAGTTGCCCATGAGGCAGCAGTGTGCTCTCATGGCCAAGGAGGACAATGGGATCCTGGGGTGCATTAAGAAGAGCATCTCCAGCAGGTCGAGGGAGGTGATCGTCCTGTACATCTGGAGATGGTGTCCAGTTCTGGACTCTCCAGTACACGAGGGATGTGGAGCTGCTGGAGGGAGCCCAGCACAGGRCTACCAGAATCACCAGGGGCCTGGAACATCTGCCCTGTGAGCAAAGCCTGAAGGAGCTGGGCCTGTTCAGCCTGAAGAAGAGAAGGCTGAAGGAGACTTGATCAATGCCTATAAATACCTCAAAAGAGGGAGTGAAGAGGATAGGACTGGCCTCTTTTAGGTGGTGGTCACCAACAGGACTACAGGAAACAGCCACAAACTGAAGTACCAAAAATTCCACAGGAGCATAAGGAAACACTTCTTGACAGTGAGGGTGACAGTGAGGGTGACAGGGTGACTGGCACAGGCTGCCCAGAGAGGTTGTGGAGTCTYCTTCTCTGGAGATGTTCCRAACCTGCTTGGACGCAATCCTGTGTGGCATGCTCTAGGTGACCCTGTGTATGGAGGGGTGTTGGACTAGATGACCTCTAGAGGTCCCTTCCAACCTTAAGCATTCTGTGATACTATGACATCCTCAGGAGGCGGCCCCAGCGCAGTGACACAGTTAGTGCACTCAAAATCAAAGCAGCTCTGCAAATGCTTTTGACCATAAATCAGATTTTCTATCATTCAGAGTCAGATGGCCTCAAAGTTTTACCTGCTGGACCTGCTTTAACAACCTGTCTAAAGACCAGCTTCATCTTTAACAGAAATAGCTTTTCAGGGGTAAAAAATCACGATACCAATAAAGACAAAAATGCCACATACTGCTTTCCATTGTGTAGCTTTACTACTAGTAGCAAAAAAAAAAAATTATCAATTTAGAAAACAAACCATAAAATTCACCACTCCTACCAAAAAACAAACAAATAAATAAATAAATTTCCCAAACAAGAATGCAACCCTCTAGCAATTCACAGCAAAGCTGAGTTTGAGCACATACAGAGGACTCCGTTATCAACTAACACTCCAGGKCAGGTCTCTATGGTTACAGCTGCAGAATTTCATTGAAGTTTTGGGCATGTGAGTGCTCCTCTATTTCAAGCTCGCAGGGTTTTTGAGGATCTGAAACATGTATGTTTCAGGATCATGGGACTACAACAGGTCATACTGAGCTAGGCCTTAAGTCTAACATGAATTTTGACAGCCAAGTACAGATCTTAAAAATAAATAAATGGAAAGCCCCCCAAGCTATGGGAAAAATTTTGCTAAACACAGGAAAGCATTCTAGTCTGATAGCAGTGCCCTCTACTGTCTTCATCAAAATAGCTCCTAAAACGAACAGATGGCCCATCAGCACTCTCACTAGAAAAATAGCAGGAAGCAATAATTGATTTATGCTGCTAAAACTGGCAACAAATGACTTTTAAAACCTGAATAAATACCTATTTTCTGTGTTCYGTATAAATGCATTCAACACCTGCGCTGGGGAAAAGACGAGATTTGAAGAGCTTACCATTTTAAAAATAAGTATTCACAGAAAATGTCAATTTGTAAACTGATAAAATTTAAGTTTTCCAAAGAGTTTCATTGTTACTATAGTTACAAGAGTTACATTGTTACTATAATTTCAGTTGTCTTGGGGTATTACATTTTTCAGTGGGCCTGTTAGGCTTATAAAGCTCAGCTCTAGAATATTACTATATTTACATACAAACATGTATGTATCAATGCTGCATTAATCAGCATCTCTAGCCAGATTCTGACTAGTTTTTGGCACAGCATGAAATCCAATATGAAAAAAAAAAATAAATACAAAACAGCCTTACCACCATATAAATAGTATCACGAGGGCAAAACTGCTTTAGTGCATGTGGGAGGCCAGCAGAAAAGATCTTTTTACTTAAGCTTGTTCAGAATCACAACGGCTACTCCAGGAGCAGCACTCCTGCTCTCAGATCACCACCTGTATCTCCACACTCTTTGCTAAGTGGGTTGTGTAGTTTCACAGACATTATATACAGAGTAAGTTTATGATACCTCATAACTTATGATACCTCATGCAGTTCTTAACTGAATAATGAAAAAAATATATAGTTTACTCAAAAAAAAAAGTTTCTCCACGTTTATATAATAGAAGACAGCTATATATAAATGTCTGTCTTCTATAAAGGGAAAATATATATAAATAGAATAAAATAGAAGACAGGTAACAGCGGATCTTGGTTTACAAACAGACATTACAGTCAACTACCTTTTCTGCAGAAGAGGCTCTTGAATGTTCCACACATGCAAGTATGGGTCCCACTGTGCATATCCAGATGTARGTTGTAGTCATGCAGTCCATATTCTGGGTCTACATCATCCAGTACAGGTTCATTTGGTAAAAGGACATATTGTCTTTAAAAAATACATATATAGAGAGAAAATTAAGGGAAAAGAACTTAAAAGAAATAGATATAGTAAGCAGCCAACACTGCAAGGCTGGTAGGAGAGGCTGTAACATRGCAAAAACCATTAGCACAAGCCACTTTGATTCTTCAGTAATGTTTTTGAAAGTCAAATATCATACTTTTGTCGTACTATCTTTATAGCTCACAAATAAGACATCTAGCCTAGCCAAAGCCATAAAACAATGACTCTCAACTTGTACATCTACAAAACATGCTTGTACTAATAAAAAGAATACATCATTTGAATACAAATCTAAAAGTCAACTGGCCACAAGTTTCTTTGGAATAGAAATTACTGAATATTTTTCCTTGTGCTCAACCTACCAGAGAAACTATTGCACATAAATGACCAGAAGAGTCACAGTTCCAGAGGCACTGAACAACGGTGACAGAGGATCCTATTTTCTATTAAGTGAGATGGCATTAACTTTTATCTTCTGTGTGACAAGGGCCATACTGAGCAAAAGAGGGCAAATAAAAGATTACAGACACATACAACAAGGCCTGATCCAAAAGACTGGCAGGTAGGAAAAGGGGGAATAAATCCCAGGATAAACAAGCACTATATCAGTTTACTACATTTTTTCCCCTATTGCACTACTAAAAATTATTTTCCTATGTTCTAAAATGCTGCCTTCTTTAGATCTTTCAGACAGGAGCAGAGAATAAAAGGACTGGCTGTGAAAAGGAAGAAAGGGAAGTATTTGCAAGGACAGCACATTTCTGTCTTTCTCAGTACAGCAAGTACTTTTAAGACATAAATGATTAGATTATGTCCTTAAAAGAAMAACAAGGGCAATATTTTAGTAAGAAAATACTTCTTCTACAGCTTAGGATAGTTATCCTAATATTTACTTAGATTGGATTGAGCAGAAAAGGTTAAYTATGCCTAAATATTAACCACTTTCCAGCAATCACTTTCAGTGGTAAAACTCAAAGTTTAGTCGAGAGATTAGCTTTACCACCCACAGAGAACATCCCCAACTTACAGAGTAGCAGAACCCAAAGTGCTCTTCTCAAGAAGTTGATGATAATGAAGACTCGCCGTAACAAAAGCAATTTCATTTTTTCCCTGAAAGGTTAATCAAGGTAGATGCATTTTCATCTGGAATATTTAGAGCCTTTTTTTTTTTTCCCCTACAAGGTCATCTAAGCATTAAAATTTAGGGATAAATGTTGCTGCTTACAGTGCTTAAATGTTACAGTAAGGTAAAAAATGGTTTGTTTTAATGTATGGGCAAATAATCTTATAATTTTTATTGTCCTTTCCCAGAGTACAGAAAGTATGTAAAAGACCACAACATTTCCATACAATGAAACAAAAAATGTAGCTTCGTATGTCACAGAAAAAATACCAGCAACAGAAAGATTATCAGCAACAAACCATAAACTTTACTTCTCCAGTTTCTAGTTATCATTTGATTCTTACCTAAGAAGAATGGAGTGGACCTTCCTCTCAGCTGCTGAAAGCCTAAGCATCAGGATTATCTAGCTATTAACGAAGTGTTTACAGAGAGAGCTAACATCAGTGAGAAAACATGGCAAAGAAACTGTTCTCTTCAAATTAGCCATAATGAAGAACTGGAATTACCACCATCTCACCTTCCAAAGTCCTAGTAAGAGTCCTGGATTCAGACAAAAGACTTGGACAAGCTTATCAGCACCAAGTGCTACACTGGTTTTAGTCAGGTTAGAAAGGCTGTACTTGGCAATCAGGGAACGTCGACGAGGTCTTTGGAAAGAACATAGAGAATATATTTAAAAAAAAAAAACATTATGGACCCTTACTATGTAAAATTTCACATTTCATTTTTAGACTGATCAATAGCACATAATTAAAACTATTTTGAAAGTATTCAGCATGCACAGACATAAATTTTAATTCCAGACAGACTAAATACTCCTGGCAATAAATAAATTGAAAAGAAATTGATATACTTGTCCAATTTTTAAGATATTTGCAGAATTACCTTAGTAACATACATTTATTTAGCAGCATGAAGTAGGCTACTTAGAAGGTATATTTTACCCTCACAGAAATGAAATTTCACAAAAAGGATCAAMCTGTGAGTATAGTTAACAGGGTTCTTCTAGAGGAAATTTTCCTTTTTGAGGAAATTATTTTGCCTATTGTATTCAAATCCTTCCTAGATTTCCCAGCAGAACTGGGGCATTATGTTGGTAAAACAGCAGCAGATAGGGACTTCCTAACTATCTCAGTCACTAGATGGTTTGGGCCAGGGAAGGGATACAGGTATTTCCATCTTTAAGCTGGTGAAGCTGGTATAAAYACAGGGAATCTCCTCTGCATCAGCTGTTAGCTCTTTCTTACAATGAAGGGATCAAAGTCCTCACTTACGTGGGACTTGCTCTCTCAAACTTATTGTGCCCATTAAAAGGACAGGCCATATGAATATAATAACATAGTACATCCTTTTCTGATCAGGGCTTTCCTAGTAGTTTGTTGGGGTTTTACTTCAAGATTGTGGATGCTAAAGAAAAGAATAACTATAGTCTTTCTACAGGGCATATAAAGAGGTCAAAAATATCTCTCTATTGAACTACTTCATAACAAATATTGTCTTCTGGAAATTTTGAAGCTTTATAATCTTGCTTTTAACATTCTGATAGCATTTGTGAAATCATTATCCTTGTGTATACTCAAAATCTCTTTAACATCTTGTGATTATGTTAAATAAATACAACAACTGCCTGAAATTTTTCTTGTACTACATTCTGTTTATCAATCATCATCTCTGTTATAACAAACTTTCCACACAATTAGAGTGCAAGACTCCCTCGAGGTGAGGCTGCTTTGCTGAATTCCCACAGCAGGCTCAGCTCTCTCATTTTCAGGCAAAGATTTTCTTCCTCTATGAGGAACCTTGTTTGCTGCGGGTGAAAAGCTCTACCAGTGRGGAACAGGATGTACACTTTGCAAGGAATATTAAGAGATGTTTTCAAGGAAACAATTCCCTCATTAAGCCAAATCAAATTCACGTAGCTCCTGCAAAGACATCATCAATCAGTTAAAAAAAAAATCTCAAAAATCCTGTGTTAAGACTCACCCGTTTGTGTTGGCACCTCTGTTTTGGTTGGGAAGCAGGGGAGTCACTCCACATAGCTCTAGGGTTGATAAGATGTTCAAGCACGGCCAGTGTGCACTATACCAGAATATAGTAACAGACGTGTCCTTAAATGATAGATCTGCCTGCTCCATTACATGTTCCTTTCCACTTGTGTCCTTCAGAACAATGACCCAGCTCAAGCCAGACGCTCTGTTATTTAGGAATTGAATTTAGTGGGTGAGTAGTTTAAAATAAATAAATAAACAAATAGTAACATTTCTACCAACTGTTACCTATATTTCTTAGACTAGATTTGCAGGCTATATTCCCATCTTTTCCCATCACAATATGCATTTACAGTCCTATTTCCCCATCTCCCCAGCTCTTCCAAAGCCATTAATATTCCCTACATAGTTCTTAAGCAAGCATCTTCTGTGACTAGGCATTGCTTACCTTATAGCTTCCCTGTTTTTACATGGAAGACCTGTTTGAGGATCTACRGGTTTAACAAGCTGCATTACTCTAGCTTTGACAGCAGCTATTTGTCTGAAGATGTATTCTTTCTTCCAGTATCCAGGCCTTCTACCCTGTGGAGTAGCACAGCCCAAGGAAATGGTTTCTGTCTCAGCAGGATTTATTTTCCAAATCATTCTTTTTGGTGGAAAACAACTGGAGTATAATTTCAGCCAGATACCACTGAAAATTGTTAGAATGAAGAGGAAAAATACATAAATATCAAGAAGAGTTATTTATTTAAAGCACAGGCCAAAGCACTGAATTACTCTACCAGTGCAATAAAAAGCGCACTTAGCACAGGGATCTTGGGTCCTGCAAAACTTATGCCAGTGGAAACGTAAAGTCCAAGTTTATCAGCAAATGAGGTCTGATCTAAGACTAAGTTTACAGAGGTCCAGAATGCCCTGCTAGGCACTAGTCAAGTAGAAGAAAAAGGCAGAGTTTCCTCCACTCTGATGTTCAGAGGCTGATAAATATAGCTATATGCACAGAAAATGCTCCGTCAGTGCTCCATCAAGTAGGATCATTACATCTGGGGAACCTCCTACCATTTTATGTCTCTCAACGGCATACTGAGTATACATTTTTTTAAAAAGCTTTCCTCCTCCCTATGCTAGTTACTTCCCTCATAGACTACCCTTTAAACAGACAAGTAGGTTTAARAAAAACGGTATAGTTTAGAGAGAAAATGAGCAACAGGAGAGAAAAAAAAAAAAATCAAGTTTTGTCTGTCTTCCAGAAAAGCAGAGTCTAAGAAGCTCAGAATTGGCCTAGACAAGCTCACAAGGAGATGCAAGTATAATGAAAACTAAACATGTCTAAGTAGTTAGAAAACTTCAGCCTGAAACAATAAAGCAATGATACAAGATAAGATTATCCATCCGACACAAAAAAAAAAAAAAAAAAAAAGGCATTTTAACATTTTAATACCTCTGACTACATAGTCAGGACCCCTCAAGTTTCTCACAAAGATCCAACTGAAAATGAGGTGTTAACTAGTACTTCACTCCCAAGAGGGACATTCTCTTTTTAACAGGGAAGGATATTCAGCATCTGGCTGCAGAACATAGTTAGCAGGAGGCATCTGGCAACATAAGTGGAATGAAATCTGGTTTGTCGCTATTGCTTACCACTCTTCTCCCCACTTTCAGCTATATAATCTTTCCTGCATGTAACAGCATTGTGCAAGAGTATGGGAAGCTCGACACATTAATTAGGGAAGGGGAAGGAGAAGGGTTACCTTTGGAATCACAAATGTCTGGGGAGGCACCCTCCTCTTGTCATCCTCCTTCTACTCTCAACTTCTGAAGAACTCAGGGCAGGCAGATCAAAAAGGCATCCAACAGGGAAGCATGGACTGGTCTCTTTCACAACAGAGTACCTGTCACTTTTGTCTCACAAAGCTAAGTTCAGGAAGTCTCAAGGCCTCTTATTAGATCTCGTTGCAATGAAACAAGTGCCAGAACCAGATGAAGGTATCTGCAGTCTGAGCTGCTGACCAGCGATCACAGCGCTCAGGGCATCGTCACTGTCAGTCATCACCCGGCTGCCACAGCAACAGGAGCTGGGCAAGGCCCAAGGATCCTYCCCTGTGCTCTGGCTCTCAGCTCTCCTGTCACACCAGCACTATCAGCTGGAGAGCAAAATCCTGGCGATTTCAGATCTTCCATGTGAGCCTTTATGGGGAAAGCGTGCAGCAATGAGCTGATACAATGGGCAGAGGAGAAGGCAACAGGGAGGTAGAAAGAGAATCAGAAACATTTCCTTACTCTCACCAGTTATACTGAAGACTTCAGTCCCAAGAAAAGCCCAAAGGCAAAGCAAACACATCAGTAGGAGTCACAAACACATGCACAGAGRGACTGCCAGTCTTGCTGCATTGAGAGCTACTGAACCCGATGACAATAACTACACCTAGAATAACAGAATGAGTCTCAGRAAGATACTGCCTAAAAGCAAGACCAGATCTGTCAGAGAAATATCCAGGAACTTCAGACAAGGCTTCTCTTGATTTACCAAAAGATGCAGACTCAGCAAGGTCCAGAAGATGCAGAAAGAAGTGGCCTCCTCCACTGAATACATCTCATAAATAACAGAAAACATCTCTTCTTGAGATCAGACTTGTGCATATACAGTAATCTTCTTCCAGATTAAAAAAAAAAAAAAAAATGAAATAGATATGGTTGAGATGGATACACATGAATCACTTTTCCCTTGAACCCCAAGGTAACCATGTAACCTCATGTCTACCTCGTTATCCTGAACTGGAAAAAGCATATTAAGATAAATAATCTGCACCAATGATGTACCTTCATTTATATGCATCTGCTGACAGACTCAAAAAATAAATCTGCACTGTAGCCTTCCCCTTAGATTCATCCGTTCTAAAAGGGTCAGCATTGATAGTAACTAGTTCACTGTTCAAATTATGACAAATGAGTGAGAAATGAACAAACAGCAAGAGCAGCAACTATATAGGAAGAGCTTTTCTATATAAACACCAAAGGAACAGGAACCTAGGGAAAAAAAAAAAAAAAAAAACAGCAATAGCTAGAGATTCCAGTTATTCTTATACAAGCCAGGCTCTCTCCTCCTGAGCCTTTTCACAGAAATTCGCCTGATAGGGCGAATTCTTACTGGTGGCTCAATATTTTGTGTCCTTTCTGCTTTCATTTTAAAGTCATCAGAATTTGACTGGACGAGATAAAACRCCTAAAACCCATCAATGCATCACTTGACTAAATCATATTCCCTGCCAAAAATTCAAAGAAAGAACTAAAGAAGCAGAATAGGAACATTTCCAGGCAATGCATTTAGTTTTCACCATGTAAATCCCATTAACTTTAATGGGGCTTGCACAGCTAGAACTCCATGCAACACACTGTACTCTGAGCTATGCAGTACATTCTCAACAGAATAATTGCCAGCAGGTACTTGCATSAGTGCTCTGACATCAATGAAACTAAATTAGAATGGCTCCTAACTTGGGCGAGCTCAACTGCTGTGAGATTAGGGCCAACACTTACGCTTTCCTTTTCCTTACTTGTCATTGGCCAGATCATAGAAGCGCTTGCTCACGCAGCCAGCACACAACAGGGACACGGCATCCAAATAGGAAAATATCTTCAGCAGAATTTCTGAGGGCATGCTGAGAAAAAGAAAAGAGGAACAAAAATAGTTAGACTTCACTGTAAACTACAGAGGTGACGATGGCTAAGAATTTCCACCCCAAACTACAAACAAGTGACAGAGACTATGAGTTTATGAGTTTACAGATCAAACCCTAAGGATTCATTTGTAGAATTTTGATTCCAAATTGTTTTGACTTGAAGTATTTGTTTCAAACAATCCAGGGCAACTTATTCCAGTGACCCAGAACATTATGTGGAAGTTACTGCATTTTGCAGCTTTGTTTTAACTTGGTAAATTTTAACTCACTTTAACGTGAAACTGCCTCCTTCAACTTCAGTCTCCTAGGACTTGTACCGCGATTTTCCTAGCTGGTCACTAAGCACCAGCCTGCACCGCGACCATGGCATCTGGGTGCATTAGCACAGAAACAATATAGGCAGACAGATGGATCCTGCTGCAAACTCCCCACTCCATTTGTGCTCAGATGCATCACACAGTTTACACTTATATTAGCAGAAATATGTCAACTTCAAAATAAGAATTGTGGGACACCTTAAGAATAATTGAATATTTCTGTGCATCTGTCCGGCTGCTGGTGCCAGCACCATCTGTGAAACCCCAACACTGCTATTTCTTTGCAGTTGAAGTGCACCACGTGCAGCATAACCTGGAATTAAGTCAGCAGGATTTTTGTATTAATAGACAGAAACTTCATATCCTTAGAACAGCATCTGGTAACACACAGAAGCGTGTGCGTTTTTTAAATAAGTATTTCAGAGAAATAGAGTATTTCACATTATTTTTTGGAGCATGGCAGTATGATAATATCAAAATTGCCATTGAAAATATAAATTTCTGTGAAAAACAGTATGCCAGCCAAGTCTCTCCCATTTAAAACTGGGTCATTTACAATATTTGCTGCCTTATAGTAATACTTTACACCAAAAGCATATATAYACACCTTTCAAATACACAATACTGCCAATGCTCCAGGGTTCGTATTAAAATTCCAGATCTCAGACACACTARTAGATAGGCAACCATGCCAAAACTTCCCCGGTTCATATGTGAAATTATTCAAACACTGTAAGCCCAAAACAGTTAGTGCATTTATTCAGGCAGTATTYAGAAGTAATAGACTGCCTGAAAAGCTGTAAATAGGCTAAAAATATAACACTTGATCTAGAATTCTCAACAGTACTTTTCATAACCACACTATCATTCTGTTGTTGAAGGGCAGTAGGAGAAAAGATTTTTAATTCTTTCTCAAATGGAAAGCAAAAATGATTTACACAGAGAGTTACCAAAAGTTACAAATATTCCTTTTTGTTATATTCCTTTTTCTATCCAGAAAAGGATATTATTCTTTCGTGTAACTTTTTCATAAGTAAAAGAATTTTTTAAATGCTATTTTGAAAGTGCCGTTTACTATCAACACACAGCTTGCAGCAAATGAGCAGCAATCACTTTATTCCTCCTCCTCCTCCCACTCAACCACTCTAAGGCTGCCTATACAGGGCAGCAGGTATCAAAAGAAATAACAAAGTGTATTCCTAAATGGCTTTTCCTGAAGTAATACAATAATGATTTTGATTTGTAAAAAACACATCATGACTCACAAAGAAGTTGTTGATGGTCTTGTACAATTTGCAAAACTGCCACTACAGCAAGTGAGGAGAAAACCATGCCTGAAAACTTCAGTGGCTCTACACAAGACCACAGAGTGAGCCAGGAAGGCAATCTTTTCAAGAGAGAATATCTGACAGGGAAATATCCAAGATATGAACACATATGGACCTATCTTTTTTTAATGTAATTTWAAACTTTCAAGTTTCTTCCACTCTCATCTTAAACCGAAGACACTCACCTCTCAATGGACAGACTAGGTTTCCGCTTTATCATCGGTGTCCAATATTGACTTTTAACTTCTGCATTTTCAGTTTCAGAAAATTCCATGGGCCTGGCAGCAAAGCTCCTTGATCTATTTCTAGAAAGTAAAAGCTGGTAGGAGTCAAATTATCATAAAATGAAGAGAAACTGTATACTGTGTGCTCCTAGACAGCACATGTCGACTGAGGTGAGACTAAGGGGATACACTGCATGATAATTAATGATTAGTCATTAAAAAAATTGAGCAGTTACCAYTGAGGTCAAACACTTGGCATCAAGAAAATATTAAACTTGGGTCTCTCTTCTATCACTGTTCTCCCACGATGGCCACAACCAATGGCATCATCACCAAATCTGTCTGATACTAGTGGAGAGCCCTATTCCCGTTAGAGACGACTGCATYGCCCCCTCCACCATAACCAAGCCCCAGAGGGGCCCTGCAAGAACTCAAATGCCCTGCATTAAAGCCTCTGTTTCACAACATGACTAGAGATATTTTTGAACTAATACAGCCAAGCCATTAATAAATAAAWATCAATACTCATCTTTTCAATTGGACTATTTGGGTTTTGATGTATTACATTCTTTACTCATTATCACACAACTATTTTGATCCACATTACTTTTCCTTGTCAAAGTAACTTTGCATATTCCTAGAACAAGTAGAACTGTACAAGCTGACTTGCCACACAAATCTCCCGAGGTTTTCACACAGAAACAACCTTTTAAGTTGGAATTACGAATGCTATCTTCAAACCACACACAAACTTCACTAGAGGGGTTTCGGCATCAAATCCTGGCACTCAACACCCACTGCTCCTCTGCGAGACCGTGGGGCAGGCAGAGCTCCACTGGTGCTGCCAGGTTGGCACTGCCAGCTGCCTTTAAAACACCCGGGCAATTTAGAATCAGCACTGTGGTTCTAAGCAACCAAGTGATGATGGTCAAAAAAAAAAAAAAAAAAAAATCTAAATTGGAAGTACATACATACCATATACATTTAACACATCCACGTCCACTTAATAAACACTATTCTTATGATGAATTAAAAAAAAACTATTTTTTTTAAAGAACTCTAGCCTATAATGTCAAAGATGTTATGTCACAATCTCCCAAGTTTTACCGGGGATTGTTACAAGCACCTATCCTCCTCACATAGAAAGATATACATATTTTAGTTCAAGTGCTAACTAAAATAGGCAAAGAAAATTAATAGCAGAAGAAAGTAAATGTCAAATACAACCCTTAAGGCCAAGGAAGTGTTTTACTGGAATGTATTTTTATCAACAAACACACTAAGAAATTCAGATGAGATACCAGATTGAATAAGTCAGTAACAAATGACATTTTTCAAATGCTATTTTAGGAACCCTGAGGCACAAGTCCTGCTCTACACTAGTGGAAGCAGCACCGTGTAGCTGCTGGGGCAGCATCTCCCAGCTATTTCCCCACTAGTTACACTCAAAGCACTAGGATTTATTGGGCATATCCGGCAGTGATGTACCTAGCTCCAGGACTCATTCACATGGAGAGCGAGGTCCTGAATTTTGCACTACACTTTACCTCACGTGAGCATGTCCTGCACTGCCTCTATTCAGCCTTCGCTCTCATTTTAAACACTCCTTGTATATATCCCTCTTTCCCTCCCCAGGAGCCTTGCAAGCTGCCTGTGAAACTTAAACATCGTTTCCACCACTTTKTAAGTGTTCTCTTTGTTTAAAGAAAAAGTATTGAATTTTGCATTTTCCAAAATGAAACTGCTCTCAGGAAATTAAGAAATAAAATCAGAAGATTAAATAACAGGTCCTTGAGCTGTAGCAGGCCAACTAAACTAAAAGCACTGAATTAAAGTCAAAAAAGGGCACTGTATGCTGAAACACAGGACACGGATCCTTCCCAGGGACCCGAGACTCACATCCTCAAATCCACTACATAATTTCACAAGTATCGCACATATAAATTTCAAATTAAACAAAATGTTTTCACATCTCAAGGACGGAGTTAACCAGCCCACGTTAAGGGTCTCGGGCAGCAGCCACTGCTGCCGTGTTTAGGGATTTCTCCAGGTAACAACGCGCGCCGGCTCTGGCTCGGGAGCGCCGCAGCCTCGGGCGCCCTTCCCGCTGCCCGCGGCACAGGGTTTTCCAGGAACGCGCCCGGAGCCGCAGCCGAGGGCCGAGCCGGGCAGCCGCGGGCGCTTCCCCGCGGGGGCGAAGGGCGGCGGCGGGCGCGGGGCCCTCGGGGCGGGCG